TGCTCTAGAAGTGTATGCCTTTGGTACACTATTTTTATATTTGGTCTATACATATATTTGTTAGCAGCAGATAAAGCATGTGAATACAAGGACTGCATGAGAGGGCAATATTTATAATAAAGTGTCTACTATTAAGGAAAAATCTACACCTCAATGACAATTCTCCTGTAGTAGCAAAACTTTTCACATGAAAGACTTGAATTATATCTATGCTGGAATAGCAGCAGGAATTGCAAATGACATGCTGAACATAGAGACAGATCTGCGGGAGTTCAAAGAGGCACTGTTTCTTTCAGTATGGTTGGAGCCTTGTCAGATAATTATTTTGTTAGAAATTTGACAAGTTAAATGTAGTTCTTGACATCTGTTCCATTTTTATTGCTCCTTTAGTCAGATTCATTCTTTATACTTTTTGAGGGCAGGTAAAAATAATTTGCATCTGAGCCCCATGCCTTTCCCACAAAAGTAATCAACACACATAAAAGCTGTAATTAAAATGGAACTCTTCTCTTGCTTCCAAGTTTGAAGTAGTCAGTCCAGTATCAATGCGATTGGCTTTACTGAGACTCAGGGTGCGAAACACGAAAACAATTGCTTTTTGGGGGGGGGGGGTTAAGAAATAATTATTGGGTGCCAGTTTGATAACAAAAGAGTTTTTTGTTTTTTTGTTTTTTTTTTTTTAAAGAAAAGACAAAGCTCCTTAGGTCTCAGTAGATGCAAATTTGGGAATAATTATATTTAAAGTCTCTATAGTAGATCCTATAAAGAGCCACCTCTTCTTAGCAAAGAAAATGGCATCATTAAATTTAAATCCTTATTCACAAAGGTTTCTAAGCAGCAAGGACAAAGGCAGGTGGAGCTCAGGATTACTCTAAGGATGTGTTCAGTGATGGTGAAAGAGGAGAGCTGCAGTCATGGTGGACCCATCCCCTATGAAAGCACAGCTTGGATTTACTGTCAAACCCTTCGTTAAGAATTAAAACCCCAGTGAATTTTTAATTTTTTTAAAAAGATGGATTAAATAAAAATGGAATTGTAAAAGTAAGTTAAAAAGTAGCCTTGACAAATTGCTAAAATTGTGCAGTTAAAAAAAATCTGTCATGCACGTTTGTGCTTACACAAAGAAAGGAAGGTTTCAACAAGCACTGCAGAGAGAGGGAGGAGGAGGAGGAGGAGGAGGGCTGATCAGCTGACAGCAGAAGTGGGACGGTAGAGCTACACGTTTCTTCTACACGTAAACTCCAGGGATGTAAAGCAAGAGCTCTGTAAAATGCCGAAGGTTTTAGAACTGTAATGGCAGGTAGAAAAGTACACTGGTCTTGTGTCAGTAGCAGCCCCAGTGTTAGAAGACAGTCTAGGCTTCTAGGAGGAGAAAATAGAAAAGGAGGGAAAGAAATAGGAGAAGGGAAAGGGAGGGGGAAAGGGCAAAAAAGCGTAAATCATTAGTAAACATGAACATTAATGCAGCAAACTGCACATCAAGCAATATTTCATTTAGTGCTGATAGCAGACCTTTCCAGAGACTAATTCAGAAACAGGAAACTTCATTTGTACAAAAGTCTGAAAAAGTCTCACTTCATGCAAGAGCAGACAATTGTGCTACATGCAGAAATTAGCTGTGTTAAATCTAGATTAGTGGCAAAGTGCCGTTGAGAGAATGGCAGTTCAGGATGTCTCTGAAAAGGAGGATTTGCGTTAAAAACTGTACCCAGCAAGATATATTTCTGTGAATTGGTTTTAAGGAGAGGAAAACCACTAGAGATGCAAGATCCAATACTGCCAGGTACTAAACATCAGTATGCGAGGTGCTGAGTACCCTTAGCTCCTACTTAAATCAGCAAGTGTTGAAAATGCTCAGCACTTGCAGGATTGAGCCCTTAACTAGAAAGTAAATGTACTAAAATTAACTACACAAATCTTTCACCTGCACTCAATGTTTCCGCCAAGGATACCCCACAACTCTACTATAATCTGGATATTCCAAACTGGGAAAAACAGCAACAAAAACCAGCCTTGTGAGGTTTGGCATCACACTGTAAAATTCCCTTTTGTGCTGGGGTATCCAGATTTTTGGGGCTTCTCTACATGGGGACACTCAGGAAGGCCAAATCAACTAAAGCCATGAACTGAATGTGCATAAATTAAAGTGTGTTGACCCCCATATGGATACTCTCTCATTCAAGAGTAAATTGGCCTTAGTTCACTGTAATTTAATCCTTCGAGGAGGTATATCTACACTGCAATTAGGAGGTGTGAATGCAGCTTGTGTAAGACTAGTTTTGATGGAGTTAGTTCACTAAAAATATCAGAGAAGCTGAAGCCATGGCAGCATGGGCTAGATGCCCAAGCATAAGCCCACCCAGGACACTGGGTACATACTTGAGCAGCTAGCTCGTGCCATAGCAGCTTCTCTGCTATTTCTAGCGAGCTAGCTGAAGTATGCTTACATGTGCTGCAATCGCACGGCCTGATCGTAGGGAAGACATACCCTAAGGCCACTTAACCCGTGAGCGAGAGCACCCACAGAGAGTTAAGGCATTTTGAGTTATGCACATTCACGTCACACCTTTAGTTGATTCACCTCAACTTTCCTAGTGTCCCCATGTAGATATGCCCTTAATCTAGTCAAGTGAGTGCTAATCTGGGAAAAGGAAAAAAAGGCCTTTTTTCAGACCTAACTAATCCTAACCACTGTACACTCCAGATAACTGCAGAGAATGTTATATGTAATGAAAACTACATCAAGTCAACGTCCCGTTGAATCAAACTGCAAATACATTCCACTGCAGAAGAAAAAAAGCATAACTATCTAGGGAGTGAAAAAATGAGATGCATTTACGTACCCAAGTGACGATTACATTATCCCCATTCTCCAACCATCTCCAATGATTATTTCAGGATCCAGTTTCAATGTGGCTCTGTTTTGCAAAGTTCCCCATGATCTCGTTCTACTCTGTCTTGTACACTGTGTTTCTCTACTTCTGTATCACCTATTTGTTGCCACAATTCTGAAGTTATGGAACCTTCTCTGCAGCTCCTGCTCTCTGGAACAGTCTTTCTGGATTTTCCCAGCTCATCAACTGTTCATCTCACTTCAAATCTCATTTGAAAAAGTCTCTCCCTTGTCTGTGCCTCTTAATATCATTCTCCCTCTATTATTTAACTAACTGTAGGAGGTCAATGTCGTGAGACATTTTGAAAAGACTACAGTTGTATTATACACATTTCCCATTAGTCTGAAAACCCTAAGTTAGTTGATGCTTAAGTGACTACTTAAGCTTCCATGTTGCTATTCCTATCACTCTGAAGTTGCCTTTAGACAACCTCTAACAAGAAAAATTTCTGAACTCCAAACCTCACAAACTTAGACGTCAAGACAGAACCTATTGATAATAAACAAGCTGCAGTCATCTACAAAGGTCTTTGCTTGTGTTGTTAGTATTTAGCATCTGAGAGGTTAAAATTAATTTATGGTTTACTGGAGACTAGCCTTTAAGGAAGGTTATTACTAACCTCCAGAATCATTCATTCAAAAGAGGACCCCGGTGCACCAGTGCAGTCAGCTACACATACTTACAATTTCATTATGGGATACGTTTGGATTCCACTTCTTCCAGCATATATATAATACTGAAAAGAGCAACTGAAGTAGTTTGAGAGAGGCTCAGGGGTCACCTTAATTTTATACTTTCCTGTAAAAATCTACAGCTTTATTTTGACAAGCATTTACAAAAGCAGGTTAAGCACACAGACTAGTGCCATATTTGTAAATCTTCATCTTCCCAATAAATGCATCCAATTTAACCACATATGCATTAAAAATTAAATAATTCTCTAAACGCACAAGTACTGACCACAACAAGAGAGTTTTCTACCCCTTCATAGCCTCAGGAAGCTTGTTTTTCTTGAGCCTGGACCTGAAGACCAGAGTAAGTGTAACATGCTACTACAAGAGGATCCAATTTGGGTCTCTAGTGCAGCCTCTCCAGCCATAGGCTGGGATCACTGCCGAAATAGCATTTTTAGCCTCTGTTTGGAGCTAGTGACTCAGGAGACCAGCAAGTACCTCTGGTCAATGCCAAGAATGACAACCACCTCCGAACAACCGTATACTTGGTAGAGCAAAGATTACTACAACGTAAGAGCTTTGGCTGATCAACCATTTCCCCCCCTTCACTACAAAAGAAAAAAGTTACCTATTATTGGAATACTTGTTACAGCAGGATATTTTCTACCTTAATATTTGTGGTGATAGTGACATCCGAGCTACATCAACAAGCTAAATGCAATGATCAAAAATAGGACAATTAATGCATGTCCCAGACAGGCATGAAGTTTAATCACTCATTCAGAACCCGTCATAGGATATTTGTGTAGAGATTCGCCCATTTAGTCATGGCATGTTTCTTGAAATACCAAGCTATTATGTATTGCTGTTAAGAGATGGATTTAGGAGGACTTCAAAACTTCAATTTTGATAGACTCTCACTTTGGCAGCATGCTAAGAGAGTCGGGGGGAAAACTGAGAAGAGAAGATGAACAACCAGACCACAGTGAACTTCTCCTCGCAGCTGGTGATCATACTGCACTTTGAAACTGGGGAGAACAACAGGGGAAGTTCATACTCAAAATAGGGTAGACTTAGTCCAGGTAATGTTAGGGCTTCATTGGAAAGTCATTTTAATACATCAGTATCTCAAATACATCTTCCTTAGGTTAACTGTGGCTACAGTACATGAAGCCTTCTAAAAGGGGCTTTCTTAAATATGAGCAATTCTGGTATAGAAGGTAGTTTTAGCTTAGTTTAAATGCTTTAAAAAAAAAAATCAAGGTTCACTGGGCAGCGAGCAGCTCTTCGGAAAGTACCAAATAAATACTGAAAATCTCATAGAAAAGAACACTTTGCCAGAACAAAGATCATCTAGTAGGTTCTGACTAAACCAGAGGAAATAAGTAAGTCTTCTAAAGCATTGTGTTTAACTCAGACATTACTCTCTTACCTGTACTGTCATCTTCTATTCCATGGTCACCATTCTCTAACACTGCTGGTCCAACAGCTGAAATACCTGCAATAACCACACAGAATATATCAACCTGTGGGCAGGCGTCACTCCTAACCTATATAAAGTTCATCTCAAAACTTTCCCCCAAGATGTTTTTTTCCTCAGTACTGCTCAATCCACACCCTAGATCTTCTCTCTGACTGCCACTCCCACCTCCCTTGTATCAGGGTAGGGGGAACAAGCCACACAACTCATTGAGTCAGAAGAGCCCAATTAACCACTTACCAGTAGCATCAATACTTCCTAAGAGAGTGGCGTATTCCAGGCACACAGTCTGTTGCTTAGTCCCATGAAAGTGACCCACAGAATTATAACCAGGGGCTTCTGCAACAACTCACACCACAATTGCAATTATCCAAATCATCTAGGGGACGAACCTTTGACTAAAGGGGCTTCCAAAAGGCAAGACTACAGCAGATTTCCCTTAAAGGATATTCAATAAAGCGTGCCTTTGAAATTTTATCCATCTAACCAAGATAGGCCTTCCTTGCCGTACTACTCATTGCTATGTTGCATATGGATACTGTCATTACATCGAAGGCTGTATCACACAAAAACCCTGAGCATAATCTGTTCCAGGAAGAGACGCTTGCATCTGACTTTCTGAAGCAAGTTCAGGAGTGAGAGACCAATATACAAGAGGTCTCAATATAAATGTAACATATAACGGAGATAATAAGAGCTTTTGCTTATCTTGAGTGCCCTTTTGAGGGCGACATCCATTTTTCCAATTTCCAAGGAATATTTGAGCCCTGAGGAGACTGGTATAGGAGTCCCAGTACTTGAAATTGTTACCTCTACCCTTTTGGACAAACCACTATTATCTTAGCCTTATAATTTGTGGAGCTTCCAAAATGCTTTTGGGACAGAATCTAAGTGGCTCCATTCCTTAACCATGTCCAACTCAGCTTCATTAAAAGAAAGAGTTGGGAGGTTTAGGGTGGGTTCAGAACTGTTACCCTGTGTGACAAAGACAAGACTAGGGAGAGACATTCTTTTGTCTCCCCATCTGACATGAAACTAACATCTTACAGTTATGGACTAATCCTAGAATAATGATGGAAACTGACATTCTTGTTGCAGTTAGTCAAAGCTGAAATCAATAAATATGGCTCAGGATATTTACCTAAGAAAATTTCAATTGAGACACATTACAAAGCATATGCATTCAAGATATATATGCAAGTTTATTTATATTTGTCTATTACATGAGTACTTAGCTGGATAACTCCCACAAAAGTCAACAGGAGGCACATTGCTAAAACCCAACTCTCATCTCCTAAAATGTCATCCTTCATCAGTATTTAACAAAACAAAACTACTTTAATTACTAAAGTGAACAACAAAAAGCTGTTTTCAGTAAAAATAAAATCAGTCCTGTAAGTAGGGGAGCTTAAAGGCAGTATAATGAAATGTGTTCAGCCTTCAACTTGTTTAATGATATTCACGGTTTCAAGATCAGAGTCTTTCCTGCTCCAAGATTGCTTAAAAGAATTTCCTTGGGAGTACACCTCTACCCCGATATACCGCAACCCGATATAATAGGAATTCGGATAGAACACGGTAAAGCAGCGCTCCGGGGGGGGTGGGGCTGCGCACTCCGGTGGATCAAAGCAAGTTCGATATAACGCGGTTTCACCTATAACGCAGTAAGATTTTTTGGCTCCCGAGGACAGCGTTATATCGGGGTAGAGGTGTACTAGGATTTATACCCTGCCTACACTCAAAAGGCAGTTGAGTACTGCGAGATCCAGTGGCTAGGTCAGAGGACTGGGAATCAGGAGATCTGGGTTTAACCCAAATTGGCCACTCACTCTCTAAGTGACTTTGAGAAAGTCACAAACTCCCATGTGGCTCAGTTTCTCCAACTGTAACATGGGAAAAGTGAGGCTTAGCCATCTTTGAAAAAGAATCTGAGATCTATGGCTGAGAAGCATTATAAAAGCATTAGTACCCTTTGTACTCTAATGACTAGAAAATGCATATATTGCTCTATTACCCAAGGAGTTCTCTAGCCATCCAAATATGTTTATACAATTCAATATTGATCCCATAATCCCACCAACACAGAACTGCTTAGTGTCAGTAACTATATCCACTTCTGCATACTGCTCCAGAAAGAGTGAAGAACGGCTACAATTTAATATAAAAACCGGTCATTCTCCAAAATACACAGTGATCTTTAACAGTTGGAGTCCGTTGGAATTAATGTTCTGAGCAAGGTTGCCAGCATTATTGGACATCTTCAGACATTATAAGGCCATTTAGTAAAATGACAATACTGTATCCTCCTGGCAACAAGCCCTGTGCAATAAAGGAAATATTGGAATACCTCATCTTTCCTTCCAAAAGCTGCTGCTCAACTTCTAGGAACTCATCCCCCAGTTTTCAGTTGTAAAAAGCATAGTAGAGACAAGCAACTGCAGGAATCATACAGAGCAGCAAGAATTATTTTCTTCTAGTTAATGGTAAAGAACATGCCGCTTGTAACAGAACCTCAGCCTCTCTGGTTGTTAGCTTTACGTTATGCACTGGGGCACCAATTTTTATCTGCAACCAGGAAGAATAACATTTTTATTTTAAATGAAGACCACGACTTTCCAGGGAGAAAAAGTGAAGACACCATTCATTAATGAGTGCTTTGTAAATTAAGGGTTAAAAACTAGAGTCAGACTTTCTATCTAATCCTGCAAAGGGTAGGGACTCAAACAGCTGCACTGTACCTCAGTGATCATTCTGACTCATCTGCGCTTGCTGACAAATTAGTGTCGCTAACATAGCTATCTTTAAGTGATGTCCATGTTAAGTGGCAATAGGTTGCATAGCATGCAGCACTCAACATGATCAAAATAGGGCATATCCCTACATTCCTTTGCAACAGCTTCAAGTTACCCAAGCAGAGTCCCTCCTTTTCACCCACTCAAATTTTAGGCAAAATCTTCCTCCTCAATCCCTAACCTTGTGTCAGCAATTCAGAAAATAGTAGGCCAGTTAAGTGAGTGGGACTAGAAAGCCATGATCGTTTCACTCCTCTAGTGTTCAGAACAGTAAGCATCACTGATCATCACGGAGATCACCGCTGAAGTGGTGTCAGTTTTCTACACTTTTTGCTATTGCAGTGTTCTAAAAATAGAAAAATGAAATTGTAAAACTACAAGTGGCGGCAGAGGGTCTAAGGAACAGCTGTAGTACACAAAAAAGCTTTTAACTAACATTTTAAGAGGACTAGATTTCATGTTAGGCGTATCCCTTTAAAAACAGCTTTACACAAAGATTCTGTATCCAGTTAATTCAGATGGGGAAGAAACCTCTGCATGTGGAGCCCAGATGCAAGTGAAGAGATATCTATGAATCAAACAGCTAGCCAAATCTGGCCAGAGCTGGGAGGGGATCATCAAAAGATTACTACATAAAAGCTTTTACTGTGTAGTAAAGCATTATTTGCTGGGCAGATAGCATCTAAACAAGAACAGATTCAAGAAGAGTTTTGCTCATTTGAGCCTCCCAAAATCAAGCATACCCTACCCTTGCCTTGCTGCACTCTCTTGAAAATTAAAAGTAGCAAGACTGACTTCCTGTAAAGCTCTAGCTCTTTGAAATGCTCTAGCTCTCCTCTATATATGTTTCACTCTATATGCATCCGAAGAAGTGGGTTGTAGCCCACGAAAGCTTATGCTCTAATAAATTTGTTAGTCTCTAAGGTGCCACAAGTACTCCTGTTCTTTTTGCGGATACAGACTAACACGGCTGCTACTCTGAAACCTCTTTGAAATGGACTCTCTAGGTGAGTTATATGAAATACAAGGGTCCTTAGTCATGGGGGTACAAATGTACTGTTATTACCAGGTGTGTTTTGGTAAAAAGGCCTTGGAGCTGAATATGTACTTCTATTTCAGCTATACAAAGTGCGGTATACAAATTCCCAATAATCTTTTTTAGGCCCAACCCCACTACCATCATAATCTGAACTATTTAAGAATCAAACACATCAATACATCCAAACTCCATAATCTTTGTCAGAATCACAAGATACTACTTGCATCTGGCCAGTGGATCAAAGGATTGCCTTTATGTAAACAAATTTAAGAAAGCATTCACTACAACAAATAATCTCAAGCAAAATGGACAGGGCCAACATATTAAACGATCTCCACATTAATGGCTTGGCGTGGTACATATGTAAGCACAGCCACACTGTTTTGAACACATTTTAATTCACCATCACACAAGCAGTTTACTTGGGTGAGAAGGCAAGAGGGTGGAAAGAAAGACACTTTCAGATAAGCCTATTGAAGAGAGGCCCATTAATATATTTTATTACTCTTAGATGTGCAGATTGGTTGGATATGCCAGACGATGAATAGAAACCATGACACAAAAGCACAAATGAGAATAATACAACCCATACATGTACATAAACAGACTTGTGCACAGTCACTTAGCTGGAATCCACGGCAGAACAGCTGACTTAAAACTAAATAGGCTACCTTTACTTGTGCATCTCCAGTACAGACATCCTCAATTAAAAAACAAAACAAAAAACATGAATTGGGCCCCCCCAAAATTATTAAATTGGTGTAAAAGATCATGAGATTTAAGAAAATTATGAATTTGAGGCTTTTTATTTGCCTTCTGGTGAGTCTTTTGGATACATTTGGGTCCTGTTTTCAAGTTTTTATCTGCAACCAGGAGGACTAACTTTTTTTTTTTTATTTTAAATGAAAACCAAGACACTCACTTAATCACATGCCTCCAGGATCAAGGGCTTAAAGAAAATCGCTAACTATCACATGACTTTAATAAAAAACGAGTATAGGTGCAGTGTTGATAGCATCAGGCACATGCAAATATGCATGTGAATTTTTGCCCTTGGTCATATGACAATAGCAATAAAAGTGCCAAACATTTAGATTATACATGATCATATGCCTTGTACCTGTGAATTTTCACAGCAAAATGGATGAAGTCAAGTTTTAATAACAGAGTACTCCCACTTAGACTCC